TATATGAAATCTGGAATTTTATAATTTTAACTTAAGATAAATCTGCTGAAATTGCTCATCAAGATTATTCATACGTAATTCGGCAGTATATATGACGGAGCAATTTCTCTTTCCTTAATTGTTGCAAGCGAAGGGTGTGACAGAGTGGGGACCTGTGAAAAACATGTGAATTCCCTAGAAGAGACAATCTGACGGTCTGAGGTTACAAACCGACTGCATCCGTCTACCGGATCAGAGGTTAGGATTGGACGACTTTTCCTCCCGCTGCTGGTGAATCGGAACAGGGCCCTCCTTGGAGCAAACTGGCCTTGTAACTGTGCTCGAGGAACTGGACAGCAACAAGCACGTGACAGGAAGGATCGGCCGAACCATCCGAGCGCTTTCCGTGATGTTCTCGTAGTCCAGGTTACGGTACCGCAAAACGTCAAAGGCAGCAGAACTCGCGGCAGCAGCCAGCGAGCCAGCCACAGATCCATCCCTCCATCGGCACCGAGGCAGAGGCAGCGGCAGGCGCGTCTGGACGCAAGCGATCCTCATCGCATCCATCATCCAGTCGGCTTTGCGGCCTCCGCCAGCATGGACGACGATCCGACGGCACCCTCACGTCACTCACGGACATGCCTGCCACGTGAGCACCATCCATGCGTGTCGTCGGTCCTCCTCCATATATGCTACGAGCAGAAGCGGTGCTCATTTGCTCCTTTGCTCGTTCCACATTCATTTTTGGTCGGTGCTGGTGGGCGGTTCCATATCCTTCTCTTGCTCGATCTATCCGCTACCATCTTTTATTTTTTTCCCAATTTTGGCCATTCCTTCACCCCATTTTCCCCATACCTTACCCCGATCACCGCACACTTCCCTTTTACTCCAAATGAAACCAAATGCACTCATTGTCCGGACCATCTCATCTACCTCAGCCTCGGTGTGTGAACGAGGACCAAACCCCAGCCCCGGCCGCCCTCGCTTGGGAGAAAATACAACGACATGTTTCCTCCCTCCAGGATTATATGCCGCCTTCCCACAATTGGCTATCACCTCCTATTCTGTTACAAACATTCCGTCACCGTGGCCGCATATTGTTTGAACTATAGTCTCTTTGCCTAAGGGACTTCCGCAGTTCGCGATGCTTTAATAAATAATAAATTTTATGTTATTGATAAATTCGTCGAGAGGGTCGTCGGCCTGATCCCGGATTATTCCATGCGTCTGCGTTGTTGTTGCTCGGTCCAATTTGTGTACGTTCGTTGGCTTTCGGCATGGACTTCCACTTGTATCATTTAGATCTCATGGGCCAGGCGCAAATGATGAGGTGGATACCTGTTCCCAGCGGATTTCAGTTATAATTCGCACCCATTCCAACTGACCTTATATATTCGACATATACTCGATATAGGGGTATTTGTGCCTATATTTGGATGACTGTATATTAATGTAACGCCCCCTCTCTATTTGTACGTTCAGGCAAGTTGTCAGTGTATACCATGGACTCGAGCCTTCTTTGACTTCTATGGATTTTGTACTTTTAATTTCGGGTTTATGCATAATGAAGTGCCAAGATAAGAATACAAAATATGTCATTGATAAAAAATCTTGCACACCCCCCGTTTTCGTTATCATGCAATATTACTTTAGACGATAATTATCTGATTTTGGTACATTGCTTTCGTTGTCATGCAATCTTTCTCATTGCAAAATCATTTGTCCGCTCTGATTTTAACATGCTTTTCTGCTTACAATATGAACAGGATTTCTCTTTGGGAAAAGCGATACGAAGACCGACGTCCTCTTCTGTCTATGCTGGTTGTATAGACAAGTAATTATTCCTGCTCGAATAAGCAAGAAAATTAGAAAAAATATTGATCAGCCAAGTGTAGGGAAGGGATGACTTTTTAGCACGTACACCCTCCGAAAATTTGGCATCGCGGCATTTATCGGCAGACAATCTTATCTCGTAGTAACAGCCACTTATCATCTTCTCCTTTCGAAGAGTCTAAGATAGTTCTAGGCGTGACAATTGCAAGCTACCGACTGGTTGTGCGTATCATAAGAAATCTGATCTATCTCTTATTTCCTTCGCTTCCGGGGCGGATTTCCTAAAGTCCGGGTCGTCCCTTTCATTGCACTCTTATCGATGAGTATTGCATCGCCCTTCTTATAACCCGAGAAGAAAAACAACAGCCAAGGTTAGCAAGGAGGGTTTGCTTTGGAGTCATCGTTCTCCAATTGCTACCGTTCCCTCACCAATTCATTTTCTCCGCCCAAGGATCCCTATGTCAGTATCTTATCGGTGCGCGAGGATTTGTGCATATGAAAAATTAGACTTTGGTTACCTGCCTTCGATTCCCGAAAGTTGTTATTTCTTTATAATGTTCAACGTCCTAAATGTCCATTATAGTTAGTAGCTTCAATCATCAGAACCGTAAAACATTCGCATGGAATAAAAAAATACATAATTATCACAGGAAAAGATCAGAGAAAGTTATCCAGATTCTTAGTTTATATAATAATTTATGTAACAATATTCATATATTTGCTCCTAAATCTATGCCCCAAATTTTTAGATAATTATAGATCATGGGTAAATTTGAAAAACAAATCACCGGTTGTAGTTACATCATGTTAACTGGTATTTTGTCGAGAATTATGTTCTTAAACTTACTACTTGGAGACATTAAAGTGTATTGAAAGTAATTGTAGTCGGAGATAATTTATTGTCAATCCTTCACACTAACTGAAGCGCAATAGCTTAAAAGGTCAATGCAATATTCGATACTGCTATAATTAAATATCTGCAATGAACACAATTTTTCGACAGAGATACATTTGCACTATAGAGAACTCTGATAACCTATCAGACTTAATATTTGGAAATGCGTGATGACTGAACTTTTGTACATCTTGTATCTCTATAACTTCTTGGTCTTTTGCTATGTTTTTTCTGTCATATGTAAAACACAATGTTTAATTTTCACACAAAGAGGTTGTTTTCATGCGATCAATGTAGTGTATGTCATAATCTGGGTGTACTGATGATATCAAGTCGAAGTTTGATATTTAATATATAATATGAAGATATTATCCTATATACTTTAACTATTAAATTATTGACGTGAATGAATGTAGCTTGAAAAATGAGTAGGTTTTCTATTTTTAAGACTGAAAATACAAATGGTTGGAAATTATCTTTCATCTCGAGATTAATTTTTGAACTCAAGCAGCCTGTAAAGAGCAACTCATATAAAAGATGTAGAAATTTTTTTTGAGTTTTTTCATCTATAAAATCATAAATTTTATAAGTATATACATATAGATCCCATAATAAATTGAAGAATATATAAATTCGTAAATAATTTTCTAATTTTCAAACATATAAATATTTTACTCCTGTTAATGACATATTCTCTAAGGAGTTGGAAGTTGAACTTAAACAGCGTTCGGAAGCATTCTAAAAATTCAAACGTGGTAAGATCTAGCAGAAATAGTGTCTTGTTCTCCAGGATAATTCATAAAATCAACTGTAGCCTCTTTTAACACGACCAAGATTAAAAATCTAGAAATTTGATATATATATATATATATATATATATATATAGGATTCAAGATTTTTTAATCTAAAACCAGCTTGTATCAAAATTCTAGAGTTGGTCTGTTGTTACGAAGTACTGATAAGTTATTGGGAAAATGTATGGAACACAAAAATACCAAGCAAGTAGTTGATTTTCTGTCACTTAGAGCGTTTACTGTTTAAGTGGATGGCAACACCTATGTAAAGGCAAATTCGAAGTTATCTCGAAATCAGGTGTTTTGGAGCTCTATTTTGTAAAGGTTTAAATGGGAAAATACTGAAGGTGTGGGATGGGGCTAGGGCCCAATTATGTGTGGGGTGAATTAGTTTCCATAACAAATGTATGAGCAAAAGGTTGTTAAGCAGAGGTTGTCACAGGAAGTCGTAGACTGGGTAACTGCCTCTAGAGTATCTGGTACATCTGATGGAGACGGCAAAATAAGTGGGTGGGCAAGCTGTAAATGGAAATCGATTCACCGAAAGTTAAAAGAATGAAGGCTAATAACATATAAGAAAAGGAAGAAAAAAATGAGAGCCAAGGGAATGAAGAGGCGGGGGAAGAGATAAATAAGCAGCAGGAGGTGGAGGCGAAAAGGGAATCTCATGAGATTCGAAGCATAATGCTCCGAGGGGAAGAAAAATCGCCGTCTGGGAATGGCCTTATCGGCAAGCTACAGCAGGCGCGGATCGGGCATGCGATGGACGGATGGAAACATGAGTAGGGTAAAGAGGAGTTGACTGCAGTCGTGGACCGGAGGTCCGGTGAGATGAGCTTGCGCGGAGGTGAGCCAACCAAAAGCAACCGCGCGAACGTACAGTACAGTCGAAGAAGATGCGCGGCCTGGCTGCGGCGCCGACAGTCGCGGCGCGGTGAGGTGAGGTGAGGGCAGGGGAGGGCTAGGCTAGGCTCCGTGGGGTGAGCGAGAAGGCCCGAAATAAGCCTAGCGATTGCGGTGGTCGATATCGGGGGCCGACGACGCCGCAAATAGAAAAGAAAGCGGAGCATTTAGCATGATGCCGCCGGGGCCGAACGCGTAGAGTGAATTCCAGAGAGATAGCTAGGGCTACTTCCGTGGCTAAAGCAGAGCTGGCGTGCTTGCTCTGCTGGCAGCGCAGAACAAAAGAAAAGAAAAGAGCAGCAGCGTCGACGGACGGAAGGAAGGAAGGAAGGAAAGAAGGAAGCACGCAAGCGAGGGAGGGAGGGAGGGAGGGAGCGAGCGATAAAGAAGGAAGGAAGGAAGGAAGGAAGGAAGGACGGACGGACGGACGGACGGGAAAGGGAGGACGAAGGAAGGAAGGAAGGAAGGAAGGAAGGAAGGAGAGAAGGAAAGACAAAGAGGCGACAGAGAGAGGCGCCATCGGTCGCACAGCGGAAAAGGCCTTTGGCCTTCAGACTCGGCCTTTGCTTGGCTTGGCTTGGCTTGGCACACTCACTCCCAACTCACTCTCTCACTCACTCACGCACTCACACTCGCAACTCGCGCACTCGTTGCTTCATTTGTTTTTGAGAGGCCAGAGCGTCTGACGGTCCGGACCATTTTGCATACACACACACACACAACAACAACAACAGAGAGAACGAGAGAGGAGAGACAGCGAGGTAAGAGAGGGAGAGGGAGAGGGAGAGAAGACGACGAGTAGATAGAGAGGGAGGGAGAGAGAGAGAGAGTGCAGAAGAAAAAGCACGATTGGTAGAGAGGGATAGAGAGGGAGGGAGAGGGGACGAGAGAGAGAGAGAGAGAGAGAGAGAGAGAGAGAGAGAGAGAGAGGGATCGAGCGTTTTTGGTGATCGAGGAGGAAGGTTGGCAAGAGGGTGTTGGATTGGTTGGGTGCAGATTGGAGGGGCGGGACTCGGACGAGGAGAAAGAGAGGAGGTGTAGGCGAGAGGGAAGAGGAGGAGGAGGAGGAGGAGGAGGATTTTTTTTTTCGTTGAGAGGGAGAGAGGGAGAGAGGGAGAGATAGAGAGAGGAGAGGAGAGGAGAGAAGAAGAGAAGAGAAGAGAAGAGAGGAGAGGAGAGGAGAGGAGGGCGGAAGCGCTTGTTCATCCGGCAGGGGCAGAGTAGGAGGCGGTTCGATCCGGTGGAAATTTCTTGATTGTGAGAGAGGACGGCGGTGGAGGGGTCGTGCATCATCCGCAGCACGGGAAGGGAGAGGTTTTCGAGAGTGCGGGACTCGCTCATCACGCGTCGGACGAGAGAAGTCGCGAGGGCAGCAGACGTCAAACGGCAGGGAAAAGGATACGGAGACGGAAGAGTGCCGGTTGTTCCCTTTTTTGGTAAGAAAGAGTTGGACTGGCTGGCTGCACGACCTTGGCTGGACGGGCGCTGCCGAGAATCGGAGCATGTGTAGGGTAAGGCAAAAAATATCTGCGAGAGAGATACCCAAGGAAGGTCAGGAATTAGTCGAGTGAGGAGAAGTTTGAGGAGGTTGGTCAATCAGGTGCGTTCTAGGAGTGGTGGGGCGAGGATTAGGAGTTGTTTCCAGGTTTTGAAATCTGCAGCAAAACGCAGAAGAAATTGAGTCCAAGGACGGGTGGACTCGTCAGATACTCAGGGTAATGCTAAAGACGTTCATGCCTATTAGAGGCAACAATGGCAGCAGGTACAGATATTACACACCCTGTGAGCGCTTTAGAAGCAGCTTACAAGCCCATTCCTCTGGAACCTCTCCCTGTATGTACCATCAAGGAGAACGGCGTTGCGGTGGATAATAATGATCCCTCGATTGTGGAGAAAAATAGGAAAGATCGAGAAACTCTTCAAGCATCAAGCAGGCCTCCAAGGCCAAACCCGAACGCTGCTCCACCAACGGCGTCATTCGTCCGGAGAAGCGTCAGCACGGCTCGTCTCACCTCACTTTCGTCTGCATCTGATTTGGACACGGTACGCTTTAATCACCGGAACTCCAAGTGTGCGGTGCTTTCGTTGGGCAGTTTTTTTGTTCCGCCGACGACAATCGTTCCCTCCCCATCGTGTTTACCTCACTTGCCAGATTGTAACAGAAAGGTGGATGTGTCGAACACACGACCTTTCTGGTTTTTTATTTTCAAAAAAAAAATCCCCGGCCAAACCCCTTATCACTCCATTTGCGCCTCTCAAGGACATTACATTACTTGTCTTTGATGTGGCGCTAAGCCCCAAGGTTGTGAGTTTTGTAGTCATGAATCTTTACGGTGGAACGTTTGGCCTCATCGTCGTCATTTGTTGTCCTCGGAGTCTTCAGAGTTCCATGGATCTGGATGCGCTCGTGTGGGGTTCAGCTTGATACTTCTCTCTATTTTTAGTCCTCACCTTTGAAGGCTAAGAGGTTTGTGTTCGAAGTCCCTACCCTGAAAGCTAGAAGAATCCTGTTGCGGTTGAATCCGAATTGAATAGATTCGGGATTCTGACTGCACGAATTCTGGATAGGGCTGCCCAACATGTCGAGCTGCCCTCAACAAGGCCCTTCTAAGCATGATATCATTGACACTGTGGAAGACGCGAGTTTTTCGTAGGAGATCGGTGACAGTGAAGTCCAAGCAATGAAACACCTTTTCTTCTCTGTATGTGAAGCTTCTCCGGAGTTTCACGTGCAAAGAAGAAAACGTTCGAGGAGCTAGGTCACACTCAAGTACCGTTCAAAGTATTAGAAGGTCAAACCACTGCTTTGGATGACTTTTCGATGTTTGTTTTGGTTCGATGTGTGATCCAGTGCCCATTTTTCAGGTTTCTGTAATTTGGCACGAGATCTCTGCCGTTGCGTGCCGTCCCCCCCCTGAACGGAAACATTCATCTGGAATACACCTTGATGTAGTGCCTGTCCCCTGCTGCCCGGCTATTTCAATCCTCCCACAGGCTAGAGTGCACCTGCAGTCAGTGTGCACTTTGAGAACACTGCGCCTATTGGCAACAAGTAGGATGACCGAGAACGTAATTCTCTTTGTCAGTGGTGACACAGGAGTTTGAAGAATTGAGATTAAGTTGTTGGTGTGCAAAAAGTTTGCATGCAAGTGGTATTGTAAACAAACAAGCGAGTCCTCCAGTTTCTAATTGATATCGTAAGCCAACGTAGCTTGAATCCGCTAAGAGTGTGTGTACGTGGAACGTGGTTGTTAGAGATATAGTGCTTAGCTAGGAACGAACGACAGAAAATTTTTTTGGCCACACTTCACGGACGTGTCATGTTTAGATCTACTGAGGTTCTTTACTCATTTGATTGTCAGAGCAGTCTGCGTGGAGTGTACAGCCAATCGTGTGCGATATAATTCAATACTCTGTCCCATTGTCGGTGTTCGCGCGTGGAATCTAAAGCTGCTTGTGACCGGTAGGGAACCCAGTCTCAGTTTGTAAGACTTCTTTCTGACCATTTGATCTTATCTCGATTTTCCAGGACGGAATAGAATCAAGCGAACGACCTATTTTTGAGCGTCATCCATTAGAGCGTATGGATAGAGCTATAGTGGAGTACACGCCCATTTTACGGTCAGGAGGATGGATGGATCAAGGAAATCGGCCAGCCATGGAAGACACGCATTTACGTATCGACAATTTGGTCACTTGGCATGCCGAATCTTCCCAAACAAGTGAGGCCTCCCTCAGTTCAAATGAAGGCCCTGGGGCTTTTTATGGGGTAAGGATGCCTCTCACTGTGCCATGACATGGCCTAAGTCACGTTCGTGCTTTTGTGTTGTCACAGGCTTACTGCAGATCGCAGGCCTTCTGAAGTCTTTGTCAATCGAAATTCAGAGTAGTGTTCCATCTCCGCCACGGAAAGCTTTTCATTCTTTTTTCATTGCCGATTTTGTGGACTACTGATGTATGATAAGGAATGTGTGCGTTCGTTCCTGAGAGTCTTTTTACGACAGTCAGGCGAAGGTGTACTTACGTTATTTTTACGTTGGGCAGGTTTTTGATGGCCACGGAGGGAAAGAGGCGGCAGATTATGTCAGAGAAAATCTACTCATCAACTTCTTGGAGGATAGTTCGTATCCAAATTCTCTCAGTGAAGCTGTGAAAAACGCATTTTACAAGACGGACGTTGCCCTAAACAACGAATTCATTCGCCATCAGGAGTGGACCTGTGGTACAACTGCGCTCACAGCCATTATTTCCGGAAGGTAATGTCCAACCACTCTCTTTGTATCTTATATTGTTTCATAGATGTCTAATATTAAACGTCGTCTTGCGTGTCAGTCGCTTTTAGCAGTGTCGGAGACGTAAGGCCTAGATTTGTTGTGACCTTCTTCGAAATTCCAATCTTTTTCAAAGAAGCATATAGGATAGCACGAACTGTGTATTGGTAGGTAGTGCTTTCAAGCAAGGCCACTCATATTCTCTCTCCACATCGCTGTATCGACAAGGGCCTATATTTATGTTCCATAGTACTTGTTAGTTTAGCATTTGGTGCTGTGTTCTGAATCTCATTAGCCATCTTTGGAAGCGGAAATTAGAATGAAACTTGAAGGAATGCTGAGAAAGGTTTTTGTTACGCGCACTTCCAGGAATCTGCTCGTAGCAAATGCTGGCGATTGTCGTGCCGTTCTGTCGAAACGTGGTGTGGCTGTGCAAATGTCTAGGGACCACAAACCGTGTTGTGCAATGGAAAGGAGTCGCATTGAGTCAGTTGGAGGCTATGTTTACGACGGCTATTTGAATGGTCAGCTCGCTGTTGCTAGAGCTCTTGGGGATTGGCACATGACAGAGCTGAAGGAGTTTCGTAATGAAATCCCCGGGCGTTCTTTCTTCGACGGTCCTCTAAGCGGGGAACCAGAGTTGCAGCAAGCAGTGTTGACGGATGAAGACGAGTTTATGATAATAGGATGTGATGGGTTGTGGGATGTATTTACCAGTCAAAATGCAATAGACTTTGCACGGAAGCGCTTGCAAGCGCACAATGACCCCGAGCGTTGTTCAAAAGAATTGGTGAAAGAGGCCCTTGTACGCAATACCTCTGATAATTTGACAGTTGTTACTGTCTGTTTTCAACCAGACCCTCCACCGAAGCTCGGAAAAGCCTGGGTTCCAAGATTCAGGAGAAGTATCTCAGCCGAAGGTCTGCGCAATTTGCAAGATCTTCTAGATCACGATGCTCCTTGAAATTGCTGTGCTTTGGCACTGTCGGCGTTACCTCTTCCTGGTGTTGGAAAGGTCGGTGATATGTCAGAAGCTCAATACAACAGGTGGTGTACATTACTGTAGTGGGTGAGGAGAGGAGGTAGATCATTGGATGGTGACAACAGTATGCAGTGCCGCAATCCGTGTTTGCATGACTAGGGTTCACAGGAACAGGATTGACTCTGAAACCGTGTGGGGCAGGGGCATTCTTATTGAAACTTACAAATGAGGCGTGTATATTCAGGCTTTATTATGTATCATAATTGAGTCAAAGACTCTGATTATTTCGGAATAAGGGAGGTGAACCAAGCACCACTTGAGGGGCAGTGTGAACTATTACCATCCGTCTATCAAAGCAGTATGTGGGGTTCTGGAGTGTGTCTCAAGTCACCCATGTGAATGCTTCCTTGGTCCTGGCCGGTGCTTTGATATGCTGCCTTTTTAGGTCGTGACTAGACCACCAAGGAGCAGCTTGACCACACCCGCAGATGAGTGCTTGCGAGATTCGACGCTTTGGAGATAGTGTTTGAGTAAGGCGCTTACGAGACTCGACGCTTTGGAGATAATATTTGAGAGCGACGACGACAATGATGAAAATGAGAATTTAGACTAGGAGATGAAGGTGTGATGCCATCTGCTGTATGGGGTGGGTTGAACAGTGTTGTCGAGTCAATTTGTTGGTCCCTCAATGCTGGCCTGCCAGTGTCACACTCCAGTTTTGCTAATTGCAGTGGGGGTATTGCCCCTTGCCCCTTTTTACTCAAATGAGGCAAGTAATGTGTAGGTATATGTAGAGGGGATATTGCTGTGCAATAAGAGCGGAGCAGTTCCAGTCCACTAGGGGTTGATGTGCTCTCTTAAAATGTGGATCTTCCATTGAAGCTCATTTGTAAGGTTTCTCTCTAGATTAATAAAACAATCTTGTTCTCAGTGTCTGCGCTGGTGAACGTCGTCGTGTGCTTCACTTTAAGCACAATGATTCATGCTTTGATCCTTGCTCTTCCGTTTGCTTTTGCATTCCATATCGCTAGTTGGAAGTTTCTTTCTGTTACTCGCCGTCATGGTTGAAATCTTCGTCGTCGTAACATGTTTGTTCATCATACTGATGTGTCGAGGTCTGTCTATCAAGTCTCGCCCATTGACAAGAATGTATCAATTGCTTTTGACAAAAATGTATTAAGTGCTTTTGACGTGTAGTACATAAGAATGTAATCCATCAGATGTACCTTATGCGACATTCACTTTGAACGTCTAATCCTGGTTGGTATTCGGTTGGTATTCATCCATGTCAGGTTGTTTTTCCAAGTCAATAAGTTCGTGGATAAGCTTGACTCTGCCATGTCTTACACGTGCATGACTGAAGATTGCAAATACCTAGATTGAAAACTTCAGGTGTTTCCGGTGAAGTTCCAGAGGCTTTGCGCTTTTTCAGATCTACATGACAAATCAGTGAATGTCGTGAGGCTGGAGAGAACTTTGGTCACTGCAAGTGGGAAAGGAGCGTAGAGACATCGACTAAAGTTGACATAGCAAGATGCTTATATCAGGTATGTGGTAAATTACGAAGTGGATGCGTAGCAGTAAAGCCTTATGCTTTCTACAGACGTGAAATAATGTAAAACTGTTGTCTGGCCTTGGTAGGGTTTAGAGTTCAGGGTTTAGACCATGTCATGCACTGGGTGAATCTAAGCTTCTCGCCAACAACTTTCCAGATCGTTGCGAACCTGACACGTAATAGTCAAAACGCGAAGCTACTCGAATCTGCTAAAGTACGTACTGTCGGGTTTGGGGTTTTCACTTCTTTTGACTTAGTCCCAAGTCCTTCAGCACATCGCTGTTTCCGAATCTATTCCAACTTCATCCTCTCTTGAAGAACGTGAGTGACCATCCAGAGTAGACTGGAGGATTTTAGATCCACGTCCTTGCTCAGGAATGTGCATGGAGATGAATGGCACTAGAATGGCCTTCTCTAAGAAATAGGCTGATTCGGTTGTGGCTGCTGTACGCCTGTCACAATTCAGGACACAGATTTTAGACAGTGTTTAACCGGTGAATCAGCTTCGAATAAATTATGGCTTCAATTTGCTGTTCACTGATGACGTCAATTTCTATTACACCAAGTGATGAAATGTTGTTGCAGGTAATTGCACAGATTATGTGTTGTGTGCTTCATATACTAACGTGTCATTTGCATGCTGTCAGATGAGATTAAAGTTTGTTTTAGATTTTTGTTATTCTGTGTGTAAAGAACTGTGATGGAAACTGTTTCCTCCAACACTTCTGTGTCTACAAACGATGTTTCAAACTCAAGCAATCAACCTTTTGGAGTACCTTTGAGACCAAAAGGTAGGTCAGTATTGAAACCTTCTGAAAAAATAGAAAAGCCCTTAGAAATGTATCCAGGTTATGAGATTCTGGGTTGCAATGTGCAGGCTAGAGTCTCAGTAAGTGTTGTATGTTTGAACCGAAGGTCAATTTTTCATTGATATATATTTTATTGTTATACTTTTTTGAACCTGAGAAGAGAAGTCCATGCAGTCCTGCATTTCCCCTCAAACGGCTCCTTCCTCTGTCGTACCACATGTCTTGTAGAAAAACTAAACTGGAGTCCTACGTTACCTCTTTAAAATGGAACACCACGTATGACGAGGGACTGCATTTTATTTTATCTTTGTTCCCAATTTCCTCCGCTCTTCCGAAAGTCAAAATTGTCGGTTTTCCATCAGATGTATTCTTGAATTTCCGCCATCATTGAGTCCAACACACGCAAAATCTAGCACTCTATTTCTATTTGTCATCATTGTTTGCTAGTAAATCCTCACACAAAATACATGCTCTTACCCTCTGCTCTGTCGACCCAACGATTATCAGTTTACATGCGTAGCAGAGTTAAACGAAAACTCTCTGCCATGAGAAACATTCTCCTATGCCTACACCGAACACCTAGAGATGTGGGAAAATATATCCCGTGAGGACTGTTATCTTGCACGTCCCATGGTCTCCGCCATATTCTGTATCCATCTGTTGGTATGACTGTGTGGTAATCGTTCGTCCCTTAGCATGAACCTACAGCGCCACACCTGATCAAAAAAATAGATTGTATATTTGACTCAGGATTGAATTGGAAGGCGTTAACAGAACTTTTCTATTCAATCTTTGACTTGCCTGCTGTTCAGCCATGAGAGGCATATCAAACATACTTAGCATGTTTCATGTTACTTTGCTCCAGTGTTACAGCATGTTTCATGTGAGTTTGCTCCAGTGTGACAGACCATTTCTTCCAGCAATCGCTACCCACTCACGAACTACCTGACCACCTGAAGAGTTCCATCTGACTTCAAATACAGACGAGCAGATGTAGATTCACTGATGCCAGGGAAACACTACCCATCCATCCAGCACATTCGCAATCAGACCATTCTCTCTCAGTAGACTGGCTCTTTCGTTTCGCTTATCTGTTCACAATCCGCTTGTTTACCCGGTGAGACAGATCAGTCAACCTTTCAAACCTCCCTCAACTAGGCCTCATATTCTCGTAAACTATCAATAAATTGTAGAGGGCCGAAAATCTCACCAGCCATACTACTTTCCTGCCTGCTGTGCTCTACAGTGGTCAGCAGGAACATCCTCATGCTTTTGCATCAGAGGAAAAAGAATTGGCTTCGTTCCTCTCGTCAGTGACGTTCAGGTGCAAAATATTATGAAGTTTATAACGCATGGCGAGCTGACTTTGAATATCTTAAAAGGGACCTTATAATACCCATACCCACTCATGTATACGTTGAACGCAAAATCTGTAGTTCCAAATTTTAGGTTCAAGCTAGGAATTTGTGTGGGCCATATTATTTGGTAACTCTTGAGTTCCTCTCAATAAGGTCGAACAATGCATGTGCAGTTAAGTGGACGTGGGATTAGCGTATAGAATCTTAGTGAAGATTCACCTAAATTTAATTTCATTGGAGTTTAACAATGTTCACTTATGCATCCAGAGATTTGCTTGATGGGACTCCTCGGGAAAGTAATTTGCTTCATGGGACCCCTCAGGTTTAGTTTTCCCCTATGGGACCTGCCTATGCGACGAGGAGCTCGTACCGGAAAGTGATCCGAGCTCAAGTCTCGCGAACTATGTACCGTCGGCCATAGTTCTTGTAACTATGATTGATAGTTACACTGCGGGGATTACAATCAGAGATCAATATCTGATTATAATTTCTGGTGGATTATCACGGGGACAAAGATCAATTTTGCCCGAAGTGCAATTTGTATGCTTCAATCCTCCCAATCGCACTGATTTGCGAATTTCTCTGTTGACTCCGGCCTGCACCCTCCTTCCGTAACCCTGCCTATGCGACGAGGAGCTCTTACCGGAAAGTGATCCGAGCTCAAGTCTCGCGGTCACCCATTTGTGGCAAACAAATAAACTCTGGATGAGTATTTCTTTGCTCATCAATACCTGATTATAATTTCTGATGGTTTATCACGGGGAAAAGATCGACTTTGCCCGAAGTGCAATTTGTATGCTTCAATCCTCCCAATCGCACCGATTTGCAAATTTCTCTGTTGATTCCGGCCTGCACCCTCCTTCCGTAACCCTGCCTATGCGACGAGGAGCTCGTACCGGAAAGTGATCCGAGCTCAAGTCTCGCGGTCACACATTTGTGACAAACAAATAAACTCCGGATGAGTATTTCTTTGCTCATCAATCCCTGATTATAATTTCTGGTGGATTATCACTGGGAAAAGATCAATTTTTCCTGAAGTGCAATTTGTATGCTTCAATCCTTCCAATCGCACCGATTTGCGAATTTCTCTGTTGCCTCCCACCTGCATCCTCCTTCCGTAACCCTGCCTATGCGACGAGGAGCTCCTACCGGAAAGTGATCCGAGCTCAAGTCTCGCGGTCACCCATTTGTGGCAAACAAATAAACTCCGGATGAGTATTTCTTTGCTCATCCAGGGGAGTGGCGGGATACACAATGACAAAAACAAAACAAGTCTCGCGGTCACCCATTTGTGGCAAACAAATAAACTCCAGATGAGTATTTCTTTGCTCATCCAGGGGAGTGGCGGGATACAGAATGACAAAAACAAAACAAGTGAATGTGATGATGCCTCCCGCTTGCACACTCCTTTCGTAACCTTGCCTATGAGACGAGGAGCTCGTACCGGAAAGTGGTCCGAGCTCAAATCTCGCGGTCACCCATTTGTGGCAAACAAATAAACTCCGGATGAGTATTTCTTTGCTTATCGGGGGAGTGGCGGGATACAGAATGACAAAAACAAAACAAGTGAATGTGATGGAGTGCGAAGTCCACTCTGTCCGTGGGTGTGGTTGATTTGTTGCACTCTCTCTAAAACTCAAGTCGTCAATAGAACATGGGTGACGGTACATCGTGCATAGGATCCCATCGGGTAAAACGAAACCTGAAGGGTCCATCAAGCAAATTACTTTCAGCAGGGGTCCATCAAGCAAATATCTCCTGATGCACTAGTGGTAGCTTTGAATCCTATAACTCCATATTTCAATTCCAAGTTGCGATAATGGTAACTCATTCAAGGTGTACAGATATATTTCAAATACTTTGTGTGTGTGCGTTTCTTAATATAACTGGTTACAAGTGAATATTGCCTGGTCAATGACTGAATGACCTGGCACAGTAAATATCTAAGGTTTGAGTATAGACATCAGACCCTTCCTTCAAAAAGTTCTTCTTCCGGTGCAAACATGCGTAGTAGGCCAAAGGTGGCTTTGTTACTTTCAAACGCACTAACCTCCCTCCCCCTCTCTGAACAAGAAAAATGGTTGTGAGCTAATTAAAATAAAACTTCGTATATTGAAAATAATGTGAATTACTCCGACTCCCTCTTCTTTCCCATATTTTTGTATACAGCAGGTTCCATCCAAGTCTGCAGTTCTGTATTGATTACCATAA